AAGCATCCTTATAAGCAGGCCCTTACAGAGTTGTTCTAGGAAGTGGACCCACCTACCAGGGTCATGCTGACTTCATCTTCCCCCTGTGCTATACGCCTTTCAGCTGTGCAACACAAACTCGGGGGAAGAGCAGCGTTAGATAAACTGTTCCTCTGCATTTCACTTTGGGGGAACTCTGCCCCTTGTTGTTTATAACGAATCTAGTTTTAAGCAGGGTATGTGGGGGGTTTTGTTTTGCTTCTGCTGACTCTGCAAACTGATACTTTGAGAGAATTGTCTAGGAAAGGCAAAGAGTCCTTTGTTATGTCCATCACTCCCAAGTGATTTGGCAGATTCCTCCATAAGATGCACAGTCTGATAGGCTGTGAGAGCGCTTGGCTGGCCAGTTACCAGCAGAACTCCTCAACTTAAACACTTCTAAAATCTTATTATGGCCAATTTGTGGTTTTGGCAAGAAAGGAAGATGAAAAAGTGAGGCAGCTGGGTGTCAGTGAAGAGTGGAGTATCGATATCATTTTCCTTGCTGTGCCACACTAAAAATGGCTTTGCACCTACGTTAGATCTAGGTCAGGCAAATGCATGCACTGGCTAAGTAAACCGGCAAAGATGGCTTCATTTGTCTTAACGCTCACCTGGAAGATATCTTGCCGTCTCACAAATCAGAGGCTAAAGTCCTTCCATTTGGCTAACTGCTAGTGGACAGAGGGCTGGGTGAGGGGTTTTACAGAATCCATGCTGCTTCCCAAATTTAAGGCCAAAGAAGAGTCCCCTTCAGCCTCAGCACTAACACTGCCAGTCCAAGGCTGGCTGCAGTTTGTGCCTGAGGGCCATGAGGAGGGAAGGGGTTCTGGGCCACCACAGCTCCCACCCCGGGAATACTTTGGGGAAGGCTGTCTCTCCCTTCTGCAAATCCCCGCTCATTTCCAAAGTCAGAGCAGCCCAAAGAATCTTGTTACACAGGCCTAGATCTGGACATTGAGACATTCTTCAAATAACAGCTAGTTTCTGGTCCTTCCCAAAAATCTCTTTGGTTTTGATCATCCCCAAAGGCCCACCTGACCTAGCGGCTTTCAATAATCTTTGAAATGTCTGAGTGAAGATACATATAGCTGTTGGAAAGCCATAGAGTCAGAGAGCAGGAGAAGTGCTGGGAACTTTGGTTTTATCAAGTAAAACCTGTCAAATCAGCATTTAAAACAAAATATTTGCAACTCCTCAGACAAAAAGAAAGCAGAAAATGTAAAAACCTTGTCTACATTACAGTTTGTAACCTGGTTTGAATACTCCTTCAAACATGGCAGGACAGGTTCCACCAAGCTTTTGCAGCCAAGGGTAGAAACCAAGGCAAAGGGCCTAAAGGCAGCGGGACAACCTATGTTAACATGGTAACAACACAATATTTTGCAGTTATGCATAGGGGCATAACTTTGCCAGCTTAACTCAGAACATTAATAAAACTCTATCTGCAGAAAGATTAAGAAAAGATAATGCTCAGGGAAGGAATTGCAGGACCTAAACACCAACCAAGGTTTATTATTGAACACCATTCAAATCAAGCTGGGGTGGGGAGAGAATAGGAGGTTAATGGTTTAAACAATGTAAATCCCACATTTGCTAGAGTAAGAGTCTTTAGGCTAGTACCAAAAGACATACTGTATCTTCATGCTCTTTTTTGGCACTTAAAAATAAAACTTTGGTGAAAACAGTTCTTGCCCTCTAGCTGGACGAGCACTGAGACACCTCTGTCACAGAGCGACCGGGTGCTGCAGCACCCTGCCGGGCAGGGCTGCCTGCTACTGCGCCAAGGAACAGGCTGCTTCTTGGAAATGTTTATGCAACTCAGCTGTGCTGCTGCTGAAGCCACAGACACAAAAAAAGAAAACACCCAGCCTCAGACCTCTCAGGCCATTAGTGTATCTCGCTCAGGTTTTGCCTTCCACCAAATACTGTCAAATTTATGTTTTGTTTGGACCTGAAGGGTGGAGGGAGTTGGAGAGTTGCCTTTGCTGCTGTCAGTCCTTCCTAATAATGTCTCTCACTAGAGAAAATGAGCTTGTTTGTTTGAGAATCCAGATTCCCTGTGGGGCACAGTTTGGGAAACTGAAGATATGGGAAGGAAAATAATATCTGTTAGGGCAAAGTATAAGTATCCATAAAGCAGAATAGCAAAACACCTAGAGAGAATGTTGTCGCTTTGCCAGCAAACTAATTAAAGTCACTGGCTGAGAAGGGAGCTGTGACAGCCGAAAAGTTCAAATAAAAATAAATCAGAAGTTTAGTCTAGCAATTATAACAGGAAATTACCGCCCAAGTCAGGGCTCCTGTGTTCTTTCCCTGGTTCTGCTTCCGGCTTAGTAAGCAAGTTAGAGAAGCCAGATTTTAAAAGTAGCTTCTAATTTGGAAAGCCTCCATTTCTGATGCCCAGCTGTACACACAGAGGATTTCATCAACTAGCATCTTCAACTAGCATCTGATGCCCTCCTGTGCTTTTTTGAGAGCAGAGCATTTCAGGGTATTGGCGTCTCTGAAGTCAGCTACCTGACCTGGAGAAACCTACAGTTATCAGCTTACTCAAAGTGGCCATCTCCAAGAGCTTCCCCTGTCTGCAAATCGTGACTAGCAAGACATATTGCTGTGGGAGTCTGATGTTTAAACGCTCTTTATGGCTGACATAACATATTGCAGTGGGAGTGTTATGTTTAAATACTGTTTGTAAACATTTACAAGACTTCAGGCACCTTCTGTCTCCAAAGTCAGTGCTGTCACTTTTGGAAATAACGCACTCCGTGACCTGCACCTTTTCTGGAAGGACTGCTTCTTAAGTAGGGGCAGTGAAGCTGCATTTCCAGGTCTGACTGCAGGAGGAGTTTGAGTGCAGCTGAAACTGAGAATCAGAAATAACTCCTCTTACTTTCAATAACATAGCTTCGATTGAAACTACAAATAAAGCAATCTGACTCCTTGGGAGGAAGGGAAACGTCTCTCAATCATGGGAGCTCTCTGTACACACAGTTCCTATTCAACTCCATGAGAATTTCTAAATGAAGAGAGCATGTGGCTCCTTCTTACTCGGACCTGAGTTGTGCTACAAATTCCTCAGAGGCAGAGCCAAATTAAATTTCCAGAATAAGGATGTCTCCATAAATTGACATTTCCCTGCCCTACATTCGATTAAAATCTCCCGTCCTTATCAAGGGACACACCATGGATCAGAGGATTACACTCTGGGTGCCTGCCAGCACTCATGTAGTCATGGCAGTCCAAATGTTTCTCATTATACCAATGAACATTTTTCTTCTTTGCAATACTTCTGTGTGTATATGTGTCCTAGTGCCAGTTTCGTCTTTGCTATGGGCCAGAATATTTACAGTGGCTTGTCCGATTGAGTGTCATACAGCAAATTATTACGGGTTTGCCTATTTGTAACAGAGGATGCTACTGCATCTGATCTTCTAAAGAAAAATACTGCTACACTGAGGAATTAGTGTGAAAAAGAGAATGTTGTTTATTGACACTGCAGGTGGGGAAAAAAAAAAAAAAGAGGAAGGTGGGAGGGGCAGAAGAGAGCCCAGAGTAGGATTGGGGTTCCCGTTCTCCTCTTCTGCCCGCTATCGTGCAGGGGGGAGTGCACTCAATGTTCCTTTCTCTCTTGCTCCCACGTGTGACCCTGGAGGTAACAGAGTGTACACTGTCTCCATCAGCCACGGGAGCTCGAGTCTTGGAGCTCTGGCCAGGCTCAGGTCTTCTGCCAACCACCTGCTTTTACAACCCGTGTTTTCACATTGAAAGCAGTCTGAATCTATGCACTGAGAAATCATAAAAGCTCCTGAAACAAAAAACAAACCCTTCCCCATCATGATGGGTAATTTAACTTCTGTAAACTTCATCTGGGAATGAAGTTTAAAAAAAAGCCAGAGAGGCATGGCGTAGAAATAAATCACAAAGAATCCTTTGATAGGTGATCATACCATTCTGCCATGAAAAAGTATCTCCCTCTAGGCAACAATAAACAAACTACAGCGAGTACAGGGGCAGTATTTCAACACCTGCTTGAGACTCTGGGAAAACAGCTTCATCTTCACAGCTATCTTCAGGACAGCTGTATGCAGCACTCTCATCCTCACCTTAAATATTAGCACATTCTGTACCCTATTATACTTTTGTTAAGTACAACACACAGTTTTAATGAGTGTATTTAGAAAAAAATAAAAACAGTATTTGCATAAGGTCACTGTCTACTCTACTAACTTCCCTAGATAGAAAGACTTTCTTTAGGGGACATTTAACATTTAGACATCACAACAGCCCATTATATTTGGGAATCCCTTCCTGTTTTTTTATAAATCAGTGAAACATTATTTACCAAGAGCAACAAGAAAAATAATCTAATGAAGTTAATGAAATTAATGATTTCCAGTAATCAAAAACGTGTCTTCCCTTCATGCTATTGCTTCCCTTCACTCCCTTCCAGTTTGCACTCTAATATATAATAACAGTGCATATCCACATACTAAGAAATTGTCCATATTTCATTGTTCAAGGGCTGTGCAAAGCTAACTTATAATAAGTTTTCTGACTGCTAGGTTCTGCTGGGGAATATGCAAGATCTAGTGAAGAAATACAGTCCTTCACTAGCAAGCTCCTTCTCAAGATGCTATATATAATGCTAGCACTACATACTCAGTAGTCATGATCTTACTATGAAATGCTTATCAAAACTATTCATTGCAAAAAGCACACAGGAATATTTCTAAATATGATGTTCAGTGTCAAAAGTGTTACAAGCCTGCTTGATCTTTTGAATACTTCTCACAGAAGTAACTCTCAGAACTGTTAAACTTGAGCTTCAACATAAGAACTCTTCTTTAAGGGATATAACCTTCATGGCTGTCTCCAGTATCTTTTGCCCAAAGTTTCCTAATTAAAAAAAAAAATTATTTTTTAACTACTTCCCCACACCCCTTTTCAGTCATTCATCTCAACTTCCCTTTGTTTTGTAGGCTCGTCCAAAAGGAGAAGGCCTGACTCCATACCAGGGCAAGAAACGCTGCTTCGGTGAATACAAGTGCCCCAAGTGCAAGAGAAAATGGATGAGTGGAAACTCCTGGGCTAACATGGGACAAGAATGTATCAAGTGCCACATTAATGTTTATCCTCACAAACAGGTAGGTAAAGTGCAGACCTGCTAGCAAACAGGCTGAGAACCAGGAACGCTCATAAATTTTCAAAGTATGGGTAAGACTTAAACAGGACTTGACATGGACTACAACACACCACAGAAGATTGTTCCCCTGATGAGCTGCTGTCCTCAGTCCTGGCAATCTGGACTGATGTCATCAGAGTGGCAAAATCTGAATGTCCTACCTTTCAGTAAAAATACCTCCAAACCAAAATCTTTACTTGCCTTTATTATGGAAACAGACTGTGGGGCCTTACAGTCTGAGACTGGGTAAAACAGATTCAGCAGTAGCAACAGGCCTCCTAGTTCTTATACTTCTCTTCATATGTACACTAATTTAATGTTTCATTCCACTGGTGTCAGTGGACTTATTTCACATGTCTACTACTCTTTTCACCTATTGAAATGATTGGATTTGGTTAAGGGGCTATGTCTAGTTATAAAGATTAGTGACAAAAGAAAACAATACTGAGATGACTCCTGCTTACAGAATTCCTTGGTTAATGACAGTAGAGCAAGACAGCCTGGTTCAAGAGAGCTTTCTTGATTTCCATAATACCAAGTGATGCCCAAGCAAAGAACTTCAAGAGAAAGCCTTTTATTAAGCTGAAAATATCCAGTCTGTAGCTCTGCTAGGAAAGCTCTATCTGCCATCCTATCAGCCATAGCTCACGATGCACGCAGCCCTGCTTCCTGCTCCCTCAGACTGCAGTTGCATCTATCCCTTGAGGTAATTTCCTGTGTTTCCAGCTCACGATGGGAAAACTGTCTGACAGTTCCTGCTTGTGTCCCACCAGAATTGGTTACAAGCAGTCAACCAGAGTTCAGTGGTCTTTAGGAGACAGACAGAACCACAACATGAGCTCACACCCCTTGTTTCCGTGACAAACCAGGCTACAGACAGCTGTCAAAGCTGAACTTGTATACAGAAAGTCACTTTTGACAAGCCCATGAAAAATAAATTTGGCCATCATGGAAAAGTTTGAGGGGGATTTCACAATATTAAAAAAAACTTGTTGTGGACAGAAAAGGTGAGAATTACTTCAAAAGAGTTTGGGAGGTGTGATTTGCCTCAGGTGTAATTCATCCTAGCTGAATCCCAGTAATAAACAGAGCTCTGCATGGGTCATGTTACCAGCTGCCTACTCAGAGATACTGCTCAAACCATAGACTAATCATTTGGATGTACTTGCAGTAGGTGCAAAGGAAATTCCATCAGGAGCCTTTAGGTGCCTCATAAGTTACCTAAGTGCTTGCAAAATTCCTATAAAAACCTCTTCCATGGGCTCATAAGGAACACTTCATACCGTTTCATGAGATTTGGAGGAGAGTGTGTCAGAAAAAAAAAAAAATCCTAAAGGGACTCTATTATGATGAAAAGGCAGAAGAATATTGAAATTCATTTCAACAAGCAGGAAGAGGAGATACAAATAAGTTTATTAAGCTTTATCCTACCCAGGAATATTAAATCAACTATATTTCCTCCTCTTTCACACATGTGCATATTCATTTAATTCTAAGGGCAAGATTTTGCTCAGTTTCTGTGGCAACCTGGCATTCAATATGCAGCCAAAATACTGATTCAGAATTGCTAGTACCTTGAAGAAATATGAATTGCAGTTAAAATGTGGTGTTTGAGGCCTGCCACACTTGTGTCAGATGCCTTGGTTTAAACTTGACATACTTCACTACAAGACTGATCAACCCTTCTTTCAGTCATGGGAATTGTCTACTTTACAATGAACTTGTACAATTCCGTGGCTGAGCCAGTGACTGTCTTGGATTCTGTTGGCCAGTTGAGGGGATATAACCCGTTCCCCTTTCTCTGGGTTAATGCTACTCTGATTCCAAACCTGAAAACAAGAGGTCATCTTTAGAAACTGCAGTCTAATTTCCCGGACAAAACTGTGACTGAAAACTATATTTCAAGTGGGAAAAAACAAGGACCTCTTTTTTAGTTTTGTGGAAGCATATATATGGAATGAAAGCTAAGCAATTCTCTTTCACTAACTTACATGAGACAACCTCAGAGCCTCCAAGGTCTCTGGTTCCTTGCCTTTGTTTAGACAGCTTGTGTAGACAACGGCACCAAAATCCAGGCTGAGCAATGAAGTGATTTATCACGTGAATGGAAGTACAGTCTTGAGGGTGAGAGAAATTACAAGACCACTGATTTATAACACAAGATTATAAATATTTACCTTGTTCTTCTAAATTCTTTCCACCATTTATGTTACTGTTCAAAGGGTCACAAGAAATTACTCAAGAGTATCCCATCCACACTATACAAGAGGCATTATAGACTTAGGAATATGTATATTTTGTAGTAAAGGATGGTTGCAAGTAGTCCCTTGGGCAGAGTTGCCCCTTGTGGCAGGGCTAGAGGAGTCTAATCTGCATGGTAGTACTAAAGTCAAAGACATACTGTGGAAGGGTTGCAGTCTACAGTGCTTCTGAAAGTTGTGCTTGCCTTAGAGCCATATACATGGTGTTTTCTAGGGAATAGTCACAGCATGTGCAGTGCAGGTTTCCACAGCTGACCCACATCACTATGTTGCCATGTCATTCCCTAAGGACACCATAAGTCAGGGTGTGGAAAAGCTTGGCTCTTCTTATCTATCCATGTGTTCATGTCCCACCAGTAGGTATTGCAGCTGTTTGAGATATTCAAGGCAAGAGTGCATTTCAACTAGGCTTCTGGATGTAAATAACTTGCAGCCAGTCATTAGTGCTCTTTCCCAAAAATTGAACATACAACCTTGAGTTGAAAGATTTTACAGCCTCTTGTCTCTGCCTCACCTTTGTTAGCCTCTATTTCTCAGCGTTACTATCATCAGTCTTTCTACTCTTTCTCATTCTTCCAGAGGTGACCTGTGATGCTTCTGGTTAAACACAGCAGCAGTAGCCAGACAGTAAAGAAAACAGCAGCAGTTCAAGCACAGAGCCAGCCGCAAAGGAGAGCTAACTCAGGCTGCATGAGGTCAGCGCTGCTTGCTTCTTCACAGAGCCCAGTGTTTGCTAACCCATACATGGGTTTTGTCCAAGCATCCAGCTCCATGCCAGACTCTCTCTAAACATCTAGAAGCACTCATCTGTGTGGTGTTACTCTACACCATTTTGGATAATATGCTCTACCTCGTCTCTTACACTAATGACTATTTTGTAAAAACACAGTGAAAGATATTTCATTAAGTCAAATATTTCTACTTTGAGAGTTAAAGCACAAAAAAAAAATTATTGTGCACGAGATTGAGTAGTTTTTTTTTTAATTAGCATTGCTACACCACCTTAACATTTTCTGTCTAAATTTCCTATTTATTCTTTAGATTTTGATTACCTTGTTGGCACCTACCACAGGAGAGCACTCGCTCATGTTTGAGTTCCTATGCACTTCTAGACGTTTTTAGCACTCTCCTACCCACCTGCAGTGCACTAGGGGATGTCCTAAGCTAATTATGTGCTCCTACTACCTTTATTATATGGGATCAGAGTATTTTCACTCTGATCTGAATCTTCCATTAGGCAGTATTTCCAACTTAGCTCATGTAAGAAAAGATGCTGCCTATCCCTCAAAGCCATGTTGTTCTTGTGCTATTTTAACTCCATTCAAGAAAAAAAATTAGAGTTGCTGTTTTGTAGTGTCTATTCTTCCACTGCAAAGTCACCACACTGTGTGATGTGATCATAGTACAAGTAGTCCATAAATGGATTATTTTTTAAATGTAACAAAACCCAGATGAACAGAAGTCTGACCTCCATTCAAGCTCAGACAGTATTTACATCTAGTGAAATAAATTATTTCTATTTCCAAACAATCTTGTCAATATTACTTCTTTGCAATGTGTTGGAATTCATCATCTCCTTATCTTCCTCCTTGCCCTACCATTTGGTCAACATTGTGACCTAACAGATAAAAAAAGGTATCTTCAACATTATTTAAAAAAATTACAGTCAGTTTATCAGCAGATGAAAGTCACTGTTGGTTGGTCAGCATTAACTACCCTTATGTCAAGTTACAAGAGCCTCCAAAACTACTAAAATTACTTAACTTTAAACAACTCAGACTGTCTAAAATCAGTCAGATGACACATCTCCCTGCTGAGGGCATATTATAAGAAGTCTCCATTCACAATAGTATATATAGCATGACAACTTACACCAGGTCAGATCAAGCTCCCAGTTTCCACATCTGATCCTGGGCAATAGTGGATGCTTACAGGAAGGCTTGGATATAGACAAGACACAGCAACCACCTCAGAGGATACTTTGCCATCCTCTGGTATGGCCAAGTGAGTATCTCTGCATTCCCCCAGTTTCTCACCAAATAGCTCAACCTCTGTAGGGTCTGTTCAATAGCTGAAACATAACCACATGGGCCACCAAGCCTTGCTACATCACCCTGCATATTGGAGATTAGGATGCTTTTGTTCCATTTAGGAGGAAAAAAAGTGAAATCCTTATTTCACCGTTGCTTGATATTCATTGCAGTGAATTAGGAATTTATTCTCAATTGCCAGGCTTGCCCTGTTCTCCAGTCCTCATCTCCATCTCTGTATTTCACCTTGCCCAATTGCTTTGCTTAACCTATGGACTTTTCAGTCCTGTAGGGCTCGTCCACACTGGTTCATGCCCATATACTCCCATGTAACTGGCTCAGGCAAGAATATCAGAGTCGTGAAGACAGCAATCTCCACTCTGGCTAGCTCTGGGGTAGCCGTTCAAGCACATATGCTGGGTCTGTGAATGGCTTGTGCAGCTATGCTCTAATCTTGATTTCCTATGCATACCTTTCATTAGTAGGTCCCTGGAGAGGAGAGCAGCCTCACTTCCCTGCCACCTGCTCTTTGTTCCTGGAGGCTCATTTCACTCAGGAAGCAATCCTGTGCCAATTCCCCACAAGGAATATCTCAATTCAGCCCTGAACTCTTACTCCACATAGCCTATCTATGAGAATGAGCTTTTAATCGCTCTGGGGCAGGAAAAGTC